CTAGCTGCTTCCCCCCAGCACACCAGGGAGACGCGGAGCGGCTTTTCTCAGCAGACACCTCAGCTTGAGAATAAAGGACTGAGGGAAGTGAGGTGTGGGAGAATATAACTGAGCTCTGGAGAAATGTTTGGCTACAGTTTCCCCTACAATATGTACCAGTTCCGACTTACATACAAATTCAACTTAAGAACAAACCTACAGTCCCTATCTTGTATGTAAACTGGGGACTGCCTGTATTTTGAGTAAGAAAAGACAGTAAAATTGCTTTTGTTAGAATTTTGCTGTGCCTTGTTCAAAGTATTCCCTTTACTTTGCAGCAGATATTCTTGCTAGACACAGTATTGAAAAATGGGATGTCTTGCTTTTGTCCCTTATGATCTGATGTGTGTAAGAAGCAGAGGTCTTCACCAGGTGTTCTTGTTTGTTTTGCTTTCCTATCCTCTTTGGCACAGCTGGCTGCACTATAAAATATCTGGTAACAGCATGGCAATATGTAAAGACCCTGAAAGCTTGTGGGTTTTGTTTATGCTACAGTTAACAGAAGTACTTCACAAAGAAATTTGAATGTGGTAGGGTTCCCTCAGCCAATGTTCCATTCAGGCCACAGAGAAGGGAATGTTTTCAGCTAGTACATTGCTCCCACCCCAACCTTCCCCTGAGCATAATCACTGCAGTGTGAATGTGCTAAGGACCCTGTCAGATGCTTCCCTGTAGCACAGCATGGGGATTGTAAGCAGCCAGTTTAACAGTGTTGTCAGAAATGTGTCGTTCTGTATCCCTCCTTGTAACTGGAAGAACTTCGTGGAGGCACTCATTTTTTAGTTGTATGAGTGTTTGGGAGGGAATGCACTTTCCAGTAATTAAAAAGACGGTTAGCCCTGGTCTACACTAGGACTTTATTCCAAAATAAAGTGTCTCCTCCCTCCCCGTTCGATTTTTTTTATAAGCAATGCATCCACATTATCAAGCCTGTTACTTCAAAACAGGCCGCGGAATTTAAACTCTGTATTCCTGCTTTTCACAAGGAGTAATGCTAATTTTGAAATAACATTAGTGTGCTGCTAATTTAAATGTATTGGCCTCAGGGAGGCCTCTTGCAGCTCTCCAGAGGCTCTGATTTTGAGGTAGCATGTCCATGTTAACAGAGCCTGCCTTGTACTAATTTCGATGTTTCCCTTGTAGGGAGGATATGCTTGTTCAAATTTGGTAATTTGGGAGTTCTTAAATCGAATTTAGTAATTTTGAGAGAGTTTCCTAGTGTAGACATGGCTTAAGGGAGCAGGCCTATCACACGTGCTTCTGTTATGCTGGTCATCTGTGGGTGGAATTGAACCTGGGAGCTCTGGAGCTCAGGTCATGAGCCTCTATTGTATGCGTTAAGTCATCTGGCTATCCGCTAAGGCTGTGGTCTCAGTGCCACTGGGTGGCACAGTACACTATACCCAGAAAGCATGTGGGATACACTTTCTGTTCACTTCACCGTGCTCTGAACAGTGAAAACAGACTCATGAGTGCTGGAGAATGTGATTAACAAACAGATGTGATGTCGTCTAGATACAATGTCTAGAGTGTTCACTGCTGTTTGGCAAAGCAGTAAGCAGGGCTAGAGTGAGATAAGAGAAGACTTTCCATCCAGTGTGGCTAATGTGTTAGAATATCCTTTTCTGTAGACAAGTTCAGCAAACCAGAGTGTGAGTATTTTTATTGACTTTTTTTGTGTAAAAGGAAATCCTTCCAACGGGCTTTATCTTTAGCAAGCCAACAAGGCACATACTGGTATGTGTCACATTAGGCTGCTGAGGATAATAAAAAGAATGACAAAATAAGTGTTGAGAGGAACACAGATTCATGTGTGCCATAAGAGTACCTTAACCACTCCTTTATGAGTTTTAAAAAGTGAACATCAGGGATCAATTTCCCTTTGGCCCTAAATGGGGTTATTTTCTGAAGGAAAGAACTGAATTTTTGCTCATTTATTTCTCCTAAGGGGTTTAGATAGTGTCCTTTTTAATCATCCTTTGGAGGTTTAAAGAGGAAGGAAGAGAAGTGCATATGAGGACCAAAAATAAGAGCCTCCATCTTGAGGCTTGGAGAAATGAGGAGAGGGAAGGGTGAGCCCTAACCAAAACTTTTTTCCATTGGTGATGAAGGAAAAGATACATCAGTTAATGGTTTGTCCTAGAATTCTTTGGCCCTGTTTTCATGTTTCTTTCATGATAAGCATCTTAATTTTCAACTGGGTCCAATGATCAAAGAAAATAGTGTCGCATCTCGCTTTGTAGTTGTCCTTTCAACAAACTGAGTAGGATAAACGTAATGGAAAGAAAAATATAGATAGGAGATTGCATCTTAAATACTGCAGTACAATAAACCTAATTTTACCATGATTCCTAAGGCTGACATCAGTAGCCTGTTCCTTTTGGAGAGAGAATTTGGGTATGTCTAGACTACATGCCTCTGTCAGCAGAGGCATGTAAAATAGGATACCTGACAGTCAATTAAGCGAGGATTTAAATATCCCCAGCTTCATTAAAATAAAAATGGCTGCCGCACTGTGCCGGCTCAGCTGGTCGTCAGCACAGCTGGTCGTCGGCACAGCACGTGAGTCAAGATGTGGCTTGGTCGACAAGAGAAGCCTTGGTCGACCGCTCCGTTATGCCCCAGGGTTGATGACCACCAGGGGGGCATGGCAGGAATAGTTCTTATATTCTTATATTGTGGGAAAAAGTAAATAACTTTTCCTTATTCACTTTTTCCATACCAATTATGATTTTATAGACCTCTATCATATTCCTCGCGCCTTAATCTCTTTTATAGGCTGAAAAGTCCCAGTCTTTTTAATCTTTCTCCATATGGGATCCATTCCAAACCCCTTATCATCTTTGTTGCTCTTCTCTGAACCTTTTCTAATGCCAATATATCTTTTTTGAGATGAATTCTGCATACAGATGTGGTCGCCTCAAGATGTGGACGTACCAGAGGCAGTAGCGTGGGGTGGCAAGCAGCTGGTCTGTGAGGGGAGCTAGTTTTTAAACTGGCTCCCCCCACAGACCAGCTCCTGTCTGACTCCCCGCACTGCTGCCTCTGATAGAGGGGCAGCAGTATGGAGTGCAGGTGGTTTCCCGGGAATGGGGCTGGAGCACACTCACTGCCAGCGAGTTCCCTGGGAACTACAGAATAGTCAGATAACAGGTAAGAATTCATGAGGTTAATCGACTATTCAGTTAACAGATATTTAATATCCTTACCCCACATCTCCAGCTTGTTTTTAGCAGCCCCCTCCCTAGGTGAGGTGAATATCTTTTTTTTTTTTTTTTTTTTTTTTGTTTTTTTTTTCTTCTCGCTTGTGACCAGGTTGGTGAGCGTGATGTGTGTGATTTTTGTTTTGTTTCTGCTTTGTCACTTGCGTGTGGCCTGGGACTGATTTTTTTTTTTCTGTTGGTCAGTGGCCCCAACCAAAAAGAGGTTCCCACCCCTGTCCTGAGTATTAGACCTCTACTGGGTTTGTGGGATTGGTGAAGCAATGACTGCATAATGCACAAATTCTCTATATAGCCTAATTCTTAAAAGTGAAAGCGGACAAAGGGAGGAATACTGGAAAATGTAGTCTCCCATAGCCAGATGATTGGTGGAGATTCCAGGAATAAATAAATGGTGAGCCCCACACAAATTATTGGACCTCTCAGGCTGACTTTGGCCTTGCTTTCACACAATGTAAGTTTGGAACAGCCTCCTAAATAGTTTCTTAAACCTGTACTTTCTGTACTGTAAAACATTCCATCTTTTATGCTCATATCTCACTGATTTTAGTTCTATGTTGTTTATGCTGTCTTTTGAGCTCATTATATATCTTTTAGAAGCTGCATCTGCTGTTTCTTTAGCACGCCCTATTTATTCTGCAGCCAGATCTTCATGCAGTTATGACACTACAAAAATATAATTGTTGTTCATTGGGAAACTCACTAACTTCATAGTAGTTTTTAACCACTCTAGCAATTGACAGTCACCCTGCACTCCTTTTCCCTTGCTCCTGCTCCACAATTCAGATCTTTTGTCTGATACAAACTCACTGCGGTCTTAAGCAGTCCTTGTGCTATGAGTGTCTGGCAGGATCATTAGTACTAATGTGCTGCCCTCTCTAGTATTTTTAACTGAAGTGTCATCTAAGTTAATTTGACCTTTCATTTGCAAAATGAAGGCAACATTTAAACAAAATACATTGCGAACAATCAGTTGCAGTAATTTTTAAACTATCTGTATTCAGAAATCATGTCTCATTGAAATGACATTATCAAATGTTAGTTATCCTACATTTCGTAAGAGCAGACACACAAGAACCACTGATTTTCTTTTTTTCCCGTTAAAGCAATTTTGTTCCATGAGAACTTTTCATAATATCGATCTGTAAAATTACAGTGGGCCAAGAGCTGCTGAGAAAAGACCAACATAAAAGATTGTGCTTATTTAGTCCATTTTTTATAATTAATTAATACAACTGCTAGGCATAATTTGTCTTTAAATTTATCTATTAGATTGAGGTAGGAAACAGTGGTCCAGTGGAAGTCTAACAAACACATTTGATCTGGGAGCACATTCTGTACACAGGTATTGAATCACTTGTATGAAGAAAAATACTAGGGGAAAAGCATACCAAAATGTAGGAGGCTTGAATCTCCTCTGCCCCATGCAACTGAGTCCAAAACTAGTCAGCACTAAAGTTGTACAGGATGTTTAAAGTGAGGAAGAACTAGTACTTTTGAAGGGTTATGATTCAAACCATTTTTCACTCTGCATGATGACATGGCAGTAATGGAGTTAAATGCCCACAAAGTAAAGGTGAAGGATAGTGTGCTTGAGATTTTTTTCTGCTATAACTGAAATTGTGAATACATTATATGTAGCCTGAAGTAACATGCCACTATTTCCTTATAAAACAAACACTGATTTTTTTTATAGAAAACTGAAGGTCAAGCTATAACTATATGTATTTCTTTCCTTAGAATGCAGAAATTTCAGTTTTTGAAGTGAACATCCGTTTTGTTGGTGGACTGCTTTCTGCATATTATCTTTCTGGAGAAGAGGTAAGATTTTCTGCATTGTCAACGTAAAATTCCAGTCATTCAGACTATTGGAATTGGATAACTTTTTTCTCCGTTCTTCTTATTAAAAAGTGTCCATACAGATTGTTGCTATCGTGTTTGGCAACTGTATCCTATTGGCAAGTCTGTCTGAAGACTTTTGCTTTCTTTTCTCCCTGGGTTATTGCTTTGTATAAATATAATTAATGGGAAAAAAATTCAATTGTAAAACAGTAATCAATACTGTTGTTCAACTACGGAGTTGTGAAGTTTGTTGATACTGCTGGAGGTGGGTTTGGATGACATGGTTCCCACAGGTCAGTTTGGAACGTGTTGTCATCCATTCATACAATTGACAACTGTGACAAGGCAAGTTATTCATCCAAGTGTTAGCAAAGTTGCAGTTTGAAGGTATGACTAGAGAAACTCTTGATATGGTTGGAGGGCGAACGGAATAAATATCAGAAATACAGACATCAAAGGAGGTCCCTAAAAATACCACTGCTCATTGGATGTAAGGCAGTGGTCTCCAACATTTTTAACCACAAGATCACTTTTTTCAATTTAAGTGCTATGTAAGATCTACCTCAAATCCAAATACCCTCGCCCCATTTTTCTTTGAGGCCTTGCTCCTGCTCCACTCCTCCTCCCAGGCCTCACCGTGCTCACTTGATCCCTTTCTCCCCTACCCTCATTCACTTTCTCCAGGCTGGGGTAAGGGTTTGGCATCCAGGAGGGGTTTCTGGGTGCAAGCTCTGGGAAGGAGTTTGGATTCGGGGGATTTGTGTCTGCGACAGGACATTGGGTGGTAGGAGGAGGTTCAGGGCTAGGAGAAGGATTCAAAATACAGGCTCTGGCTGGGCACTATTTAACTGAGATGGCTTCTGGGTGGTGGAGCAGTGGGGTTAAGGTAGGCTTATTCCTGCCTTGTCCCTGCCCCGCTCCTGAAAGCAGCTGGCATGGACAGCCATGGCACTATATGCTGCCCCCTCATCTGCAGGCATTGAGCCCACAGCTTCTACTGGCCACAGTTCCCCATTACTGATCAATGGGAGCTGCAGGAGTGGTGTCTGTTGGCAAGAACAGCATGTGGAGACCCCTTGCTCTGCCTTTCTCAGGAGCTGAAGGGACATGCCAGCTACTTCCAGGAGCAGCAGTCACCACAGGGATAATAACTCCAACCACAACAGGGTAGGCATTTTAGAACTCATTCCTCAAATAATTAAACTTTTTCGTAAGAGAGAAATTATAATTATGAAATGCACAGACCAGTCAAAACCCAAAAATAACCCACTTTTCAACCAGTAAAAAGTAACAACTCCCTACGTATGTGTTGGGTTGGGAGATGAGTGAAGGACAGCGTGTTTGTGAGAGACAGATTTACATTGCCAACCTCCCCCCCATTCTCTTCTCTCTGTGCGGAGATAGGGTCCTGACAGTGCCCCCCCTTCTTCCTCCCACATCCTGGACAGACAAGCAGGAGGCTCCTGGGTGGGGCAGCTCCAAGGCAGAAGGCAGGAGCAGCATGACAGTGGGGAGAGGGACAACTGAAGTGCCAGTGCTTGATAACTTCTTGGCTCACCTGTCAGAGGCTCCAAGATCTATTGGTAGATCTTGATTTACTGGTTGGTGATCACCGATTTAAGGTGAGTTGGTATGAAATCCAGGAGAACGAGCTCCTTGTGGTATTCTGGCCATCTGCAGGAAGAGAATGATGATCACCGTAAAGTTTGTGCTGTGCAGTTTTTAAACTTTGTCCTGATACTCAGTTTTATAGATGTGGAAGAAACAGAGCTGGAACTAGTCCCTGAATCTTCAGCCATCAGTGGTGTCAATCTTTACTTGTTTTCATTACTAGTCTGGAGGCCTTAGGGACCACAAAGGCTGTAGTCCTCCTAGGAACAGTTTCCAATTGCTGGCAACTATTCCAGAAACCTTAGTAGCTGTTATTTCTTCTTGACTTGCTTGGCAATGTTAGATACCTGTTTTTTGTTGTTGTTGTTGGTTGTTGAGCAAACCCAAGTGAGTACTTCTCATGAGGCTTTTCATACTGTCAATTACACAGAAGGCACTGGGTTTAACTAAACTTCTAAAGTTCAAACTTACTTGTTTAAGTTCTCTAAAGTTGTTTATGCTCTCATACACATGTAGCTCCAAATGCAGTTAATGTTGATAGAAAATTTTAGCGGTTGGAATTGATGCAAATTTTTGTTGAGTAAATAATGTACATTTTAACAGAAATGGTTCACCTGACACTTGAAGGAAATCAGCCATTGTTCTACAATGATTTACTGATCAAGTGATGAGCACAGCTGGAGTATCTTTAGAAACAAACATTTATTTTTTCTGACTAATAGTTAAGCTTCACCAGTAACTTCTTCTACTAAAACATCTACTGTTCACAAACTGTCATGAGGTTTGAAAGACAAATGGTGTAGCAGCCGCTTGAGTGGCATGTGGGGTTGGATGGGGCCTGTCTGAGGCTCCCTGCTGCGTCCCTGGGCCAGATCGGGCAGCTTGGTGGGCTGGATGCAGGCCACAGGCTATATTTTGCCTAGCCCTGAGTTAAAGGCTCTGACTCAACTGGTCCTTAACTGCCAAGAAGTATTTGATTGGTCAGTTATTAGGTCTCTTGTAAACCACCAAAATACAAATATGTAAAGGGAAAATGTAATGTTCTTGTGAGATTATATATAAACGCATATACTTATGGATATGGTTTTCTATTATAGTGCTTAACATTCCTTTCAATTAAATACCAGTATACTAACTGGTAGGAAAACAGACATGAATGTTCAATATGCCTTTAAGTCTATAGTAGATATGAATGTTGTTTTATGTAAGGTCTTTGTAGAACTATTGTAAGCTCTTTGCAGTCTACATTCTAGAGATGTGTGTCTAACCCATGACATTATTCTGGATGGCAGTTCAGAGAACTGAAGTAGCTGAATTTGAATTGGGAAATTAATACAATATCAAAATACTTCTAAATGAGAATGGAACATAAGTCAAGAGAAATTGTTTTTTTTTTTTAAAACCAGACAACTGTTTTGAGAATTCATAATCTCATGCTTGTCAATTTGGAATTATTTAAAAAATAATAAAAAAGGACTAGATGATACTATAGTACCCATAAGGTGGAGGTACAGTAACAAATATATATAAAGCTTTGAGAGGGAAAGAATTGTAGGAACCAGAATAAAAAAAAATGTGCTAAAACCTCTCATATACTGGCAGAGTGAATATAACAAGCGCTGATATCTTGAAATATTTAAGACCTCTATGAGGTGGCATGTACTTATCAAGCAGAACAGAGATGTTTTAGTGGAGGGCATCCAAGCCAGCTGCTATCCTCCCTCCCTGTGGAGGATGCACTGCCATTAGATTTGATTTGGAGTAAAAAAAAGTTTGAGAATGGACAGAACTTCTGTTCCCTCTTGAATTGGACTGGATAGCCCAAGAAATAGTGGTCAGAAATCAACTGAAATGAACCGGCAATATATAGGCTCTCTCTACTATAGGAGCTTCTGACTTTTACTGGGAGGATCCTTGGTGCTGCAGTCTAGCCCTGGAGAATACAACTCCCAGGATGCCTTTGAAAAAAGGGGAGGGAAGCTGTTTCTCCCTGCACTGTGTGGAAGAGAGCGAGTTAGGGGGGAGGCTCTAATTTGGAGAGAGGAGCCATGCTGGTGGTTGTCAGTTTTTTCCAGTCTAGGAGCTGCTGTTGGAAGCTAGAGCCTGCTGCTGAAAGCCTGCTGGGGCTTGGATCTAGCAGGCTGCTTCAGGGGCTGTTAGTGATTTGTCCCTGGAGGGGAGAGTCTTTGGCTGTGCCTGTGGCTGAGAGAGGCCTACATAACCCTGCATAGAAGGTATTGTGGCCCTGGCCACAACAAAGGCAGGACAACTGGGGCGTTTGCCTCAGACTCCTCATAATCAGTGGTGCAAAGACACAATGAGTACAAATAACTAGCTGGAATTTTTAAGTTTTTTGACAAAAGTACCTACAATTAATAGGGAAAATGGAGATAATTCTCTTGCCTAGGTAGGTGGGCACATTTTCCAGTTGCAAATTATTTGGTTAATTCAGCAACTTGCAGACAACAATTGATAATGGTTGAATACAGGCACTCTTCATCTTTTCTTGAGGCTGGGGGTACGTCTAGACTACAGGGTTTCGTCGACAGAAGTTTTGTCGACAGTATCTGTCGACAAAACTTCTGTCGACATAGAGCGTCTAGACACATTCAGTTCTGTTGACAAAGCAAGCTGCTTTGTCGACAAAACCCTGTAGTCTAGATGCAACCCTACAGGCAATAACACCTTCTGTCGACAGAACTCTGTCGACAGAAGGTGCTATGCCTCGTAAAATGAGGTTTACCAGCGTCGACAAAACGGCTGAGTTCTGTCGACGTTATGTCGACAGAACTCAGCGGTAGTGTAGACGCAGGTATAGTTTTGTCGACAAAAGTCCACTTTTGTCGACAAAACTCAGTAGTCTAGACACACCCTAAGTATTGTAACTTACTTTAAAGTACAGCTGTCATTTACCTGCATTCTTACTAGACTTAACTTGTGATCTGCTTTGAAGACTGTTTGTTTAAAGCACACGTAAATTTGTTTTCTTCAAAATAAATGCTCCAGAATTGTCATGGTTTTAGCTATGCTCAGCTTATGAAAAGAGAAGTGCTACATATGCATTCGCAAAGTGCTCTACCAGCTTCCATCAGGCTGTCAAACTCCAACCCTCCCCACTTCACCAAACTAGCAGTTGTAGTAAATGGTTTAAGTTCAGTATCATAACTTATTCTTGCAAGAATCTTTTCTTTAAAAAGATGTCTACCATTTCAGAAATCGTGAACTACCAATTAGTGAACTACTAGTTTCCTAATGAAGGTAAACTCTGGAAATGATGATCAGAAAGTTGACCATGGCTAACTGTAATATAATTTGATATGTTCTGTCTAGAAACATTTTGGGGAAACAATCTTAATGTTTAAATGATA